ATGCAGCTCACGTAAATCTTAATAATTTCAAATATATTAAATTTTATAATTCAGATGTAAAAACAGTACCGATTCTTTTTGGCATTTTTGTCTCATTTGTGAGAGCAATATATTTGTCTTTCGAAAATATCTAAGCAAAAACCAAAAAAAAAAACAAACTAATTCAACTTGAGCCCTTGCGGGGATCGAACCCGCGACCTTTGGATTAGAAGTCCAATGTGCTATCCACTGCACCAAAGGGCCGCTTAATAATCGGTTAAATATTCTATATGAAAAAGGCGAAACATTACAAACAAACGAAATTTTAAATTATTTATAGATATTTCTTTTAATCTTTGTAAATGCATAATGCATCAATATTTGCTATACGAAATACTATTTAAACAAGTGTTACAGCGTGCTCCAAAAAATATGAAAGCATGAAACGTTAAAAGCGCGCTAGCTTGACAATGCAGATTATATTCAACGGGAAAAATTAAACGAAATAAAGGTCGCCGACCAGTATAACTCAATTATTTTTGTGGTTTCTCTTAAACCATAATAGTTGTGTATCAGTAGAAACATTTTTCGATTTGACACCCAATAAAATTGTTGAATACCAGTCACCTGATCGCTTAAACGGCCGAAGAAGATGTAGGCCATCGAAGTTTAACGCAGTCTCCAAATGGCGGGCAATTCGAATAAGACCAAAAAAGGGCCAGAATCAGCGACTACATACAAATATCATTACCAAATATATTCATCAACATGGTGAAAGTGGGTTGGCATATTTTCAACCATGAATGCATTTTTTATTATCTTTTTTCGTTTGTTCGAATTAATGCATAAAAAAATAAACTATGAAACTACAAAATAATTTTTGATAAAAAAAAAATTAAATTTAAACTATACATACATTTAAGTCTATTAAAAATTGGACATAAATTTATGGACATGAAAAAAAGTACATATTATTTGGCGATTCAAAAAAACAGGACCTAAATTTTCGATTTTTAAAAACTGAACACAAAGTTTTCGTAATGTAAAAAATTTACATAAATTCTTTTGATGATAATTTCTTCATCTCTTATTGTTCTTAGATTTTTGTAACAGTTGTGGTTAATTAAAAACAAAAATCTTTGTTTATTTGAAAATGGGACGTGCGTACATTAGACTGGGTCCAAAAAAAAAAAAGTTGTAGAAGTCCAGTATTTGAAGCTTATGTTGAAAGGATTTCGACACCATATAAAGGTTTTTGTTGGTCCTTTTAAAAACCGCCAAAAATTGTTTTTTATAAATTAGTTATTTGAAAAGCGACATATCATTATTTCAGTCATGAGGAGCTGTATATTTCCTTCTAATAACCTTTCGAGCTCTGAAGTCTTTTCACATAGTTGGGTCACTTGACCCGAGTCGTTCCCCCTAAGATATGTTTTTACTTGATCAATCTCAGGAGCTTTAGAATTCATTAAAAGTGTGGCAAAAAATTTGGTGTCCGGTATGAAAAAGAATGCCCCTTATACTCGTTTCACTGAATGATTATTAATTTTAGTTATACATATCTCTGTACGTACTCGTATTTTAATTTATTTCGAAAAAATAGTAATTTAAACTTAGTAAAGAAAGCATAACAAAATAATCCAATAATTATTTTCTTACTTAAATTGACCATTCACTCATCTTTTTGTTTCTAGTATGCTGTGATTTTAGTTATTCTACTGGTAATACAAATATTCCTTGTAAGCATCAGTTATACTGCGGCTAGTGGAAGTCTCTCAAGTGGGCTGCAACGAGGATTCGACGAACTTTGGGATAAAGGTTACACAAACATCAATACAACGCTATCCTTCTATGAAGAGTGGGTAAGATTTGATAACAAAAAATAATAAACAAACAGATTTTTGAAAATATTGCTTTACCAAAAATTATTCCACTATTTTTTTCCTTTCACTATTTACTATTAGCTTCACTGTTGTGGAAAAAATAGCGCCAATGACTACTTTCAAATGGATAAAGTTCCGCCGGCGAGCTGCTGTCGCTATCAGGATTGCAGGAATGTACTAAATCTCTATGTGGAAGGTTGTGAGCAGAAATTTGGCGAATACGTGCGTGAGAAGACGAATAGTTTCAATATAGTCAGCTGGTGTTTGATACTGACGGAGGTAAATAGTAATTAAATTAAAATGAAATTAAATAAATAATTATGTATTTTAATAATTTTACTGATTGCAGTTTATTGGCTCTGTATTTGCTTGCATTTTGGTTGATAGCATCAGAAATTATCGCGATCGCATACGTTTTTATAATTGAAATGGCAACAATTGAATTCCTCTCTTCAAAAAATGCACATACATACCTCGTTCCTTCACACAGCATAGTATTGTTAATCTAATGATCGAAAATCCGAAAAAATTGTTGACTCAATACGTTAATTATAATAATTAGTAAAATATCTATTGTATTTTTAGTTTATTATTTAACTGAAGTTACATTATTGTTTTAAACTTAGCTAAAATTTTATATAAATAATTGTTGTTTAGTTGTAAGTTACTAAATTGTATGTTAACCTCGAAGAAAAATAAACCTAAATTCAATTATGTAGATTTTCCTTAATTTTATTGACAAATATATCGAGCCCAAACCTCCGAAAAGACGTAAGCGACATTTATTTTTTTTTTTTATACAGAAATCTTTCTAGATCATCAAGGTGCATTTCTGCATCAAAATAAAATTTTAAAAAATTTCGCTTTCGCCTTTTTGACGGTTAGAGCTCGATATGTATGTATTTAAGATTTACTGAAAGTATTCCGTGACGTATACGTAACATTTAATTATCGTCATATGTATGACTAGTTGACCCGTCGCGCTTCGGTACACCCTAAAAATTTCAAGATGTAATCCTAGCTCAATGTATGGAAAAATATCTTGAAGTCAGAGATATATATGTACGTACATATGTATGTATGTATGTATATTGCAAGTCTTATGAATAGGCGATATTTTTGCTGGTTCATCTGGTGCGTAAAATAAAAAATCGATTGCTTGTCAACCCGTGAATATGCAAAACATATCTAATAGTCAAGCGTAAATTATTCCCTAACAGAAGTCAATATTCTCCTCAAAAGCTCTGATCAACACATTTTTCTAACAAAGAAACGGCAAACTCAGGTCGATGGTACTCATCTAGACTAACAAAGCCAAAAACGGATTCGCAAAGCTAGTTCTCCTTTAAAGGATATTGATTTCCTCCAAGCTATTTGTGTTTTGCATGGGGGTGTTTGAAAGTTTGGAAAGCCGCTTGAGGGTAATTTGAGCAAAAATCGAAACTATTGCGTTTGTGTCTGGTAAAATCGCCTCATTCCCAACGGAATTTTCACCGAGTGAAGAATAATGGAACAAAACCACACTTTTTTACACTGAAGAAAATAGAAATTTTTTGCTTTGTGTATAGCGAAATTGGAAAAGTAAGTTTGAAGTATGTTTGACAAGCCGCTTGCGTGGTGTAGTTTGCTCTTTAGTAGTGAATTTTTAGCAAAATAATACTCAATTATTCGAAAACGCCTCCATTATTAGGACATGTACTATATGCAAGTTAAACAGGTTATGAGCACCTTGGTGCTTGGCTTACTATTGGCTTGGGTACTATTTTGGCGGCCATTCTTCCTGATGTTTCGGTTCATAGTTCTTGATTTTGTTTATTTTGAAGGGTTCGCGTGTTCAAGAAATTGGAATAGAAAAATACACTATAAGAGATCAACTTTAAGCGGCTGTAGCTTTTAAGAACGAGCTAACTTTTCAAAAAGCTCCTAAGGTTTTGTTACGATATTCCAGTACTATCAATTTGTACTGATCGCTTCCCCTGTTAGATTCCTTGATCCCAAAGTTGTTTGCGAAGTGTAACCTTTTCAATTACTTAATGTTGTATCGGGATGTATAAGGAAGTCCGAGTGTTGAGTGTCAACTTAAGGGAGAGAGGAGTTGCGGGAGTCAGTACATACAAAGCAAGGTATACGATTTACGAATATACACCTGGAATGTCCGGACCCTCCGAAGAGGAAGGAGCCTCTATCTAATTGCTAGGTATCACTAACAAATATCAGGCTAATATGTGGAATGCCGGAGAATGGCAGCAAAAATCTGAGACTCCCACATATCCATAAGTGAACGAATTGCCGAAATCCGAATAAAGGCTAAATTTAACAACGTCAGACTAATCTGTGTGCACGCCCCAAACTAAGAGAAGAACATTGAGACCAAGGATCGTGTCTATGAACGCCTAGGAGAAGCATATAAACGCTGGCCCATAATATACGGAAAATATGCTTGACCGTTATTAACGTGCACTTTATCTGAGGAGCGAACATCCTCGGATCACTACCCTGTTGCTGCTAAGATCCATATTCGCCTCTGTGCAATGAAGAACGTGCGCCAGGTAGCCCGATGAAAGTTCGATGTCGTAAAGCTGTAGCCCCAAAGACAACTGAGTAATTTCGCAATCGACTCACAATACTGGTTAAACAATGAATTCCTCACCGCCTGGACATAAAGGGACAAGGGTTTACATCTCTCAATACTTGGTATCGCAGCGGGGGGGTTGTTGGTTATAACCAACCTCGCAGAAATAGCTGATACGACGAAGAACCTGAACAAATGTAAAGTGACGAACTCACGTCCCTCCACTTGACCAAGACGAAGTGGCTGCAAAAATCTGATAGGACACATTCACCAGCTGTTAGATAGAATTTGATCTGACCGAAGACCGTAATCTGAGAGTACCTTGTCTAATCCGCCAATTATCGCGGAATAAGCCTTCTTGATATTGAGTAAACGGTCCTGTTGACGGTACTGTGTGAAAGCCTGAACCAATTGTTTGAGGCTTGTTAGTGTGGCTTCATATCTGATAAGTCCATCATTGACTATATTTTGTCAACACATAAGGTACTGGAGAAGACACTAGATTAGTAAATCGACACTGAATATCTTTTTGTCGATTTCTAAGCCGCTTTTTATATCACGGAGAGAAAGTTGCCTGTACGACACCATGTCTAAATTTAAGATTCCCGCAAAACTAATGTGACTATATTCGGTAAAATTGAGCTTCGTTCAAATTGGGAAGGACCTCTCCGCGCCGTTTGAGGCTAAAGGAGTTTTTAGACAAGACGATTCACTCTCTTGCGAACGTTGGAAAGCGTAATAAGATCTGCAAAAGAACAATACTGCTGGCGTATGAAGATGATATCGTTATCGAAGGCCTGAAATTTAGGGACGTAAGCACAGCATTTTCCAGCTTAGACAAATAAGTTAAAGAGGTTGGTTTAGTAGTGTGCGGGGTTAAGGAAAAGAAAACCTGGCAACACATAAAGATTAAAGCATTTTGAGACGTACGTCACTATTGGTAGTTAAAGCTTGAGATAGAGAAACGTATAGTGACAAAGATACACAGACAAAAATTAATATAAGTATAAAGGTTAAGATATGTGATGTCATGATATGTTGCTCACCTCTTTACCGCAAGGGTTGACCTTCAGATGAAGAAGATAATAAAGGCAAAGGTAAGTATAAAATTAAGGATAAAGATAAAAATAAAGGTACAGAACAGGATTGAAACAAAAACAGAGATAGATAGAAGTATAAAAATAAAGATAAAGGACAGAGAAGAATATATGAAAGTCACCTCACTTTCTCTCAACTTCCGTAACCTTATTTCAACTTAGCCACCTAAATTTACCTAAACTCACCTCATCTGAAATAACCTCACCTCAACTCACCTTTATTGACCTTACATCAACCCACCTCCTCTCACCTCAACTCGCTTTAATCCACTTCAACTCACCCTAACATATCTAAACTCACCTAAATTCACCTCATCTTAACAAACTTTATCTCAACTCAACCCACCTTGCCTCAACTCACATTTGTATTGGTAGAATTTCAACCGCTGAGCGAATAATATGACGTACGTACTACTTTTATATATACATACTTACGTATGTATGTATGTAAATTGTCACCTGAATACGAGAATATTTACTTCTGTAATTACATCACAATGTCGAATTAAAAAAGAAAAGTTAAAATTATCATGAAGAGTGATTCATTCACGGAGACTGCAGGCTAGAAAATCACGTCATAATAACATAAACCAGCTGTGTCTAGAAAAATAAACTAAAAGGTTTTAAAAACTGGCCCTGAAAATCAACCTGTTCGTGAGTTGAATGAAAGCGAAAAACATGAAAATACAGTCCCACGCAAAAAGTCAAAAAAAAAAAAGAATGGAAACGTAAACTAAAAATTTTAACGCAATAAGCCNTACGTCATAATAACATAAACCAGCTGTGTCTAGAAAAATAAACTAAAAGGTTTTAAAAACTGGCCATGAAAATCAACCTGTTCGTGAGTTGAATGAAAGCGAAAAACATGAAAATGCAGTCCCACGCAAAAAGTAAAAAAAAAAGAATGGAAACGTAAACTAAAAATTTTAACGCAATAAGCCGTACATCTCAAAACGTCGAAGATGAACTGGAAATGCTAATCAAAATAAAAAAAAAAAACAAAATTAAATGAAAACAGGTTGGAGAAAATTTTTAAAAGTACAATAGCGGGAGAAACAGTGACAAAATTTTATTTTATCTCTGCTAAATACACATGTTGGTATGTATTATTATATAGCACATATATATACATGTGAATGTACACACACTGGTGGTTAGCTAATAAAGTTAAGTGACACATATTGACCAGTTCTGGTAATTTTTCGTTTGTTTATTTGATGTTTATATTTTTTTTTTATAAATGTCTGGCATATTATATAACCAGTACCAGATTAATTCATATTTCAAACTTTTTACAAAGGTTTAACAATCACACTCAAAAATTTTAAACTTTTTATTAAAATTTTTTTGAAAAATTTTTGGGTATGCAGTTTTATAGCCCATTAAATATTTAACCGACTTCACCAAAAGGAGAAGGTTATCAATTTCTTAAAATTTTTTTTTATATATGTTACCGCATAACTTTTGACCATCTTAACCGATTTCTATAACGGAAAAGGGTTACCTCACAGGTGGACCCATACTAATTTGGTTTATATCCAATCATTGACTCATGAAGAAATTAACGATAATCTTAAATTTGTATACGAGAATTGAAGTCGGTTTTGTTTTTTTGCTTAAAAATTACTTGTTTTAGGTTAAAGTGCAAATTTTAAAACGCTTGAAAATTCCGTTGACATTTAATATTTTTTTTTGCTGACGGTGCTAGGCATTTTCCTTCAAATAAAAGTAATTTTCGAGCAAGGCGCATTCATATAAGGTGGTAGCAATTGCATATAAGTAAAAGTCCCGTGTATTTTGTTATTGCTTAAAGTTTGTTTAATTTGTATAAATTTTGTACGAAGTTTGAAATGTGGATTTATGTGGTGCTGGTTATGTAATGTGCTAAACTTTTATAAACAAAAATTAAAAAACATTAAATAGNCTTATGTGGTGCTGATTATGTAATGTGCTAAACTTTTATAAACAAAAATTAAAAAACATTAAATAGACAGAAGAAAAATAACCAAAACTTATCAAAATGTTACTTGACTTAATCAGCTGACCA